GGGGGGGGGGGGAGGAGGAAAGATGGCACAAGTGAACTTGGGGACCAAGGATAAGAGGGGGACTCTGTGGAAAAAATCCCTTCCGGGGGTTTCCTGGGGGGGGGAGGGGAGGAGGAGGAGGGGAATAGGATTTGGGGCTGGGGGAGTCCTGGGATGAGGAGCTGGATTGTTTGCAGACCTCCTCCTGGGCTGAGTTGCAAGGAATCTGAAGTAGATGCCAAGAAGATGTGATGTCATGGAGAAAGAATGCCTCTAAGCATACGCAGAATGCTGGGCCTTAAAGAAAGGCAGGGCTCAGGTCCGGTACCCAAGGAAGAGGGGGCAAGAGGAGACCACTAACACACAGGGCCATTGGCCTCACATTGGTGGTCCTTTCTCTTCTCAAACAGCTGATGTTTGCAACCTGGAAGGAGGGGGTTTAAAATGACAGTTGTTATGGATATTGCACAGCCGATCCTTAGATTGCTTTTTTCCAGGAAGACAGACAGAGTCTCTCTCTCTCTCTCTCTCTCTCTCTCTCTCTCTTTCTTTCTCTCTTTCTCTCTCTCTCTCTCTCTCTCTCCCCCCCCCCAACCAGGCCCTTTCTTTTGGTAGGGTGGGAGACAGAAATTTGGCCTCCAGTTTCTATTTGACTAAGTTAGCGGATGAGTTGCAACCATTCTGCATTCCTTTGCATCCTCCTCCTCTCTCTGGCCAGCAAGAGAGATAGGAATTCAGGAGGGCTCTTTGGGAGCCCTCCAAACAATCCTGTTTTCATTTCCCTGCCATAATTTACTATCAGAAATGAATGAAGTGCCTCCAATACCGCCTAAGCTGAAGCCTGTAAAATTTAGAATCTCCTCAGTTGGGCCAAGGTCGGTAGGGAATGAAATGAGAGAACATCGAGTCGATGGGCTTTATTAAGTGTGAAGAAAATGGCCTGTTTTTTTGAGCTGTTTGCTTATTGGCATCTCGCCTTGATTATCTCGACAAACAAATCAAGGCGATGGGACACATCCAACACACCTTCCTCCTCCTATTTCCCCCACAACAACAACCCTGTGAGGTGGGTTGGGTTCGAGAGAAAGGGACTAGCCCAAAGTCACCCAGCCAGCTTTCATGCCTAAGGTCAGACTAGAACTCGCCATCTCCTAGTTTCTAGCCTGGTGCCTTACCCACTAGACCCAACAGACTCTCTAATATTTACGTATATTACAATTAATATTGGAAAAAGCAATTCACCCTTTGGAGCTTCGTTGAAGTCCAGGGATGCCCTTCAGCAGAATATCAATGTTAAGGACCACATTTGTTCCTACCTAGATGCGCGTGCACACACACACATTTTAGCTCTTTTTGCATGAATAAAAATGCAGGTAAAGACTGGCTTCATACCTCATACCAAGCCGTGGTTTGCTCTACTCATGATGCAATAAGCTACATATGTCATGACATATGGGTTCATATGTCACTCTAAGCTTATAAGTCGTGGTTTGTCCCCAGAAAGGCTTGGTTTAGATAGATACTAAATCCACATTATTGGGATATTTTGAACCTAACAATGCAAGTTGTAATCTCCTATACTCACACTGACACTGAATTGGGATCTAATATTAAAAGTGCTGGAACTCCTGATGATGAACAAAATAGAACTGTGGTATGTGTGTGTCTAAAATTTATTTATATATAAATCCAATATTTATTTTAAATTAATTCTTTGCTTGTTCCAACAGGAGTAAGTGCCCTAGATTATCACTTCCCCCACTTAAGAGGGGTTTACTTTTAAATTTAAATAATAATTTTGGCTGCATATAGATATTCTTACATAATGTCTTTCTGTACATACATATTATGTGCAGCTTGTTAAAAACGTGCATGCTTATTTCCAGCTCCCAGGCTGGAATTGAGGCCTTCTTCCAGTTTGGAGTTAGAGAGTTTGGGATAAGGAATTGGATGAGAATAATGGGGAAGGGAAGCACAGCCAGAAAGATTCCTCAGAAGTGAGGAACAGCCGAGAAAGTACGTTTATTAGTGACTAGTTTATGGCTCAAGCAGGAAAGTTATTTTCTTCACATTTCAAAACATGTGACAAGTCCGCTTTTAAAACCAAAATTTCAGACTTCTTGAGCTTGGAGGATTAAGTTGATGGTTGGAGAAATCCGATTAGAAGGGAGTGGTAGAATGGAGGATGGCCCGGTAACCTCCTTCTTGTCTGTTTCCTCTTAGCTCCCTGAATCTATGCCCAGCCTGGGAGAAAGATGAAACCAGTGAGAAAGGCTGCCAGTTCCTCCTCTTCCTCCTCTTCCGGTAGCAGCAGCTGCAGCCGCTCTCCACCCTCCACCCGGGCCAAAACTCAGAAGCGCAAGACCGCCATTGACGAGAGCCCCACGCTTGAAGAAGGAGCAGAAGAGGAGGCGCCCGATCAACCCTCAGCTTTTGTGGGTGCCCGGCGCATGCAAGTACAGATGGACCCCAGCCTGCGGGACTTGGCCGGAGCTCACGATGACCCCTACAAACTGCCCGAAGGTGAAACACAGGCGGGGGCCGAGGCCTGCGGGACAGAAGCCTCCTTGAACCGCAAGACGGCTACTTTTAAGTCGCGGGTGCCATGCCGGAAGTATTCTGGGGGTGAAGAGTCGAACGGCAGCGAGAACGTAGCCGCCACCTTGGAGGATGAGCCTCGCCGCTGCCCTTCTTCCAGCACGGACACAGCCAGCGAGCACTCCGCGGACGAGAATGACAAGGGGGTGGGGAACATGTGGGCGATGCCCCCCAGTGCGTACGACCTGCGCCAGCTGCGTTCCCAGCGGGTGCTGGCACGGCGGGAAGGACTCTTCCAGCCAGCCGTTGTGAAGCAGGTCAGACGAGGGCAGGACCTGGGGGTGCAGTTTGTGGGGGACCGGGTCACGGCGTATTACGAAGGGGCCCTGGGATCTGCTGCTGTGGATATTGTGCTGGACGCTGCCCCACCCACTGGAGCTTTGGCTGTGGGTACCCCAGTCTGTGCTTGCGTGGACCCCGACGAGACAGCTTACCAGGAAGGCACAGTGGTGGAAGTCAGTGTCAAACCTGCTTCTTATAAAGTGCGATTCACCCATCCGTTGGTTCTCCGTGGACCTGCCACTGCCGCCCGCAAAGACTCCGCCTGGGTGCCCCGCTCAGCCCTGCGCCTCCTACGCTCCCCGTGGCGTTGTGACAATCCTTCTGAAGACAACAAGCCACCTGAAATGATGCCTCCGTTGCCAGAGCCAGAGGAAGTTGCTCTGGCCCTCTCGTGCCCCGAGTCCAAGCAGCCCGAAGACGCCGAAGTGTCCAAGATCAGTGCTGGAGTGAGGGCAGAAGAGAAGTCCGTGGTGGTGCCACCCCAGATCCTGTCCCCCCCAAAGTCGCCAGCCTTCCCTCGCCTTCCTGAGCAGCGATCGCCTTTGCTGAGTCCGGAAGCGAGCGGAAGCCGCAGCAGCAGCGTGATGTCCGTGGATAAGTGCAGCACGCCGGGCTCCTCTCGCTCCCGTACGCCCCTCACCGCCGCCCAGCAGAAGTACAAGAAAGGGGACGTGGTGTGTACCCCCAACGGCATCCGCAAGAAGTTCAACGGGAAGCAGTGGCGACGGCTCTGCTCGCGGGACGGCTGCATGAAGGAGTCCCAACGACGGGGTTACTGCTCCCGTCACCTCTCCATGCGCACCAAGGAAATGGAAAGCCTCTCGGAAGGCCGAGCCAGTGGCCTGCGGGAGGGCAGCGCCGAGTTTGACTGGGACGAGACGTCGCGGGACAGTGAGGCTAGCAGTGCCCGAGGGGACTCGCGGCCTCGGCTGGTGGCGGCTGCCGATTTGTCGCGCTTTGAGTTTGACGAGTGCGAAGCTGCCGTCATGCTGGTGTCGCTGGGCAGCTCTCGTTCAGGCACCCCATCTTTCTCGCCGGTCTCCAACCAGTCCCCCTTTTCCCCTGCTCCCTCCCCGTCCCCTTCTCCTCTCTTTGGCTTCCGTCCAGCCAATTTCAGCCCCATCAATGCCTCGCCCGTAATCCAGCGGGCCGCTGCTCGCAGCCGCCATGTGAGTGCCAGCACCCCAAAGGGAGTCGGGGGTGCCGTGCTGAGCCCTGAGATGTTGCACCATGCCGCTTCCCGAGAGCGCCATCATTCGGGCATCAGCTTCCAGACCAACCTTACCTTCACAGTGCCAATGAGTCCCAGTAAGCGGAAAGCCGAGTCGCACCACAGCAGCACCAGCTCGGCGGCCGACTTCCACAAGAACGACAGTCTCGACTCAGGCGTGGAATCCATTTCTCACACTCCCACCCCTTCCACCCCTGCTGGTTTCCGGGCCGTGTCGCCCGCGGGTGCTGGGCCCTTTTCCTCGCGCTCCCAGCAGGCCTCCCCGCTCTTGCTGGTGCCCCCGCCAGCTGGACTGACCTCCGATCCGAGCCCCACGGTGAGGAGGGTGCCCGCCGTGCAGAGAGACTCCCCCGTGATTGTGCGCAACCCCGATGTCCCGTTGCCCTCCAAGTTCACAGAGAAGCCGTTGGAGAGCCGAGGGGGCAGCCCAAGGATGGGGAAAGCCGGCTCCAAGGAGCACCTGTCGGGCAAAGGGCAGTTGCAAATGCCGGTGCCCATTAACGTGGGCCGGACTCTGCCTTCCAGCCAGCCTAGTGTGGTATCTGTCCCCGAACAAGCTCCGCCTGTCTTCAGCGTGTCCTCCCCCTTTCAGCCTGTGGCCTTCCACCCCTCCCCAGCTGCCCTCCTGCCTCTCCTTGTCCCCGGAGAGTACACCAGCCATCCTACTCCCAAGAAGGAGATCATCATGGGGAGACCTGGCACAGGTAAGCTTCAGGGCTTACTCGATACTCTTCGGTCTTGTCCTTCGGGTGTTGTCGCTTTTTTGCCTCCCTGTGTTTATTTCACTTTTCCCATCCCTCCAGGCCCAACATTAAACAGTGTTAAATCCAAACTGCTTAGCCTTAGTGGCTCTCAGGCGAGGTGCCAAGGAGAGTCGGGGAGAGCTCTATGCCAGTTCGCTGCAGACCACTTGCTATGGCCAGCTCACCGCAGGACAAGAGTTACATTAATACCAAAAAAACGGTGGTATAGAATAATTAAAAGAAAGGAATGCAAAATGAGATGGGAATGACAAAAATTAAAATAGTAATAGCACTTAGAGTTATCTACTGCTTTCCGGTGCCTTCCAGCCCCCTCTCTGAGTGGTTTACAGAGTCAGCCTTTTGCCCCCAACAACCTGGGTCCTCATTTGACCCACCTCGGAAGGACGGAAGGCTGAGTCAACCTGGAGCCTGGTGAGATTCGAACTGCCCAAATTGCAGGCAGAAGTAGCCTGCAGTACTGCACTCTAACCACTGCGCCACCGAGGCTGTTTTAAAATATTAACACATTTTAAAATTTATTTTAGATAATTGAATGGTTAAAATTGGCCCATGGCGAGTTGGCCGTGGCAAGTTGTCCCATTCTGATGGGCGGGGCAGGGCGGGGGGAGTGTAGATTGTGTGTGTGTGGGGGGAGAGAACTTGGAGGAATCTCAGTGCAAATGCCAGTTTTTGAGTTTCCATATTTGAGTTCCAGAATTCCGAGCAGTTCTGACAACCTTTTTCTTGGCAGAAAGCTTTTTTCCCCCCCGTGGCGTGTGAGGCTTGTCCAAAGACCTCGTACAAAACTGAACCTTGCTTGGGTAGTCATAGGTGACCAGGAATCCATGCTGGCAAATGAATGGTGCTGGTGCCAGTGGTAGGAGAAGCTGCACTGATTTTCCTTCGCACACACCCGAAACAAGCAAGCTGCTCGAGGGAGAGAACCCTCTTTTCCGTAAACTAAAATAGAATTTGCAGTTCTGCATTCCTTCTCTATTGGCCTCGGTAGGCTATTAACCTTTAAAAAAAAAAAAGTCTGCTTTTCCTGAGTGGATTTTGGAGAGCTGTTTGTGAAAGGCTCTTTTTTTTTAAAAAAAAAAAATCCATACACAGCTTTGGGTGACGCTTTGGTTTTTTTTCTCTTGTCAACTCTCGCTAACGCTAGCATCCTCCACAAAGGTGGTTGTGAGAATAAGCACACCAACCAGAGGAAAAGCTGGGGAAGAAAACAGGATGTCTCTTCAAAAAACACAAAAACCTGGGAACTCTTATGGTTGCTACACCCAGCAGAAGTTTGTGATATTAGGATTATTTGTTGGGAGAGAAGTTTTTTTTTCGGCTTGGTCCTCCTCTGTCTAATGGAAAAAGGGAAGAACAGGTAGAGGAGAGAGTATTGATATATCTGTGAAAGGTAAACTGTTTTTATGGGAGCAAATTCCATTCTCTTGAGAGTGTTCCTGATGAAAAGTCTCTGCAATCCATCATCCAGTTGCTTCTGAGAATAGCTTCCAGATGGTTCCGGGAAGCTGAGTGTGATGTCATCTCTCTCTTGCTCTACCCACTGGAGATTCCAGCTATTGTTTTGTGCAGAATGGTCTTTTGATAGGCCAGTCTTTCATGAGTCTCGTTCATGGTTTAATAGCACCCAGTAGTCCTTAAGTTGGCTTGCTTTTAACATGACAGACTTTTCTTAATGTTGCTTTTTAGTGAGAGAGATTTAAAACTTGAGTTTTAATTCTTCTGTTGGGGTGACTCTTGAACAGGCTCCTATCCAACTTCCATAATACCGTAAACCTATTTGATAGGTGTAGTATCGATGTTTGCAGAGCTGAAGTTGGAATTTTATCTTTGGCTTCTCAAGTTATGATTGAAAACAGGACCAAACAGGCCCCTTTTGCCTTCCAGAGTTGACAGAGGCAAAATTTTCCACGCCAAGATTTGAAAATTCAGTATATAGGACATGGGAAACAAATGACTTGGGATGGTGGTGTTAATTTTCCAAGTTGAGTTGCTTCCTTCTCTGTTTACAGTTGAAGGGGGGGGGGGCTCAGGGTGGCAGTTATGTTGGGTACCCCCATAGCCC